ACCAGAGACTTAAAAAAAAAAAAAAGATTTATTTATTTTACTTGAAAGTCACAGTTACACAGAGAAAGAGGGGGAGGCAGACAGAGAGAGAGAAAAAGAGAGAGGTCTTTCATTTGCTTGTTCACTCCCCCAAATGGCTGCGATGGCTGGAGCTGCACCAACCCAAAGCCAGGAGCCAGGAGCTTCTTCCAGGTCTCCCACACGGGCTCAGAGACCCAAGGAGTTGGGCCATCTTCCAATGCTTTCCCAGGCCAGAGTAGAGAGCTGGATCAGAAATGAAACAGCCAGGACTTGAACTGGCACCCATATGGGATGCTGGCACTGAGGTGGCAGCTTTACTGGCTACACCACAGCACTGGCCCCAAGAGACCTTTTAAAAGTGTAAGGTCGGCCTCCCATCCCATCTGAAACAAATTCAGTCTCTTTCCTGGACCTGTGGCCTGGCCCAAGCCATCTCTGCCCCCCCCCCCCCCCCCGCCACCTGCCTCCAGGCCTTTACTCTCACCCCCTGGAATGCTCTTCTTCAGGATTCTTCATTGCACTCAGGGGGCACTTCCCTGACCCCTCTACCTCAAACCACCTACTCAACCATCAGTTTGCTAATGACGTGTCTCTCTGTCCCACTAGAGGGCAGTCTCCTTGAGGGCAAGGACCCAGGGCATCTTCAGCAGCGTATCCCAGTGCCTGGCCGGCCCCAGAGGCACAAAAATATCCAATCAGCACATGAATGTGGCTCATGATCTCATTATACTGAAAGACTAAGCTGCGTGTGTGTGAACGCACCCTAGGCTGCTACAATCTGTCACCCGGGGGAAGAGGGGAAAAACATGCTAAGAGAAATTTCCACATTTTGCTCTGTATATTTCTGCATTATTTTTCTTACATTAAAAAGACAAAATTAACTACAACACATGGCAGAAAGAAAAAGATGAACATATTTAAACATACAAGTCTACTCATGGACTCATAAAGTTCAGAAACCCAGAGGCAGGGCCGGCGCTGTGGTGCAGTGCGCTAAGCCATATGGGCACTGGTTCGAGTCCGAGCTGCTCCACTTCCGATCCAGCCCTCTGCTTATGGCCTAGGAAAGCAGTAGAAGATGCTCCAAGTGCTTGGGCCCCTGCACCTGCATGGGAGACCCAGAAGAAGCTCCTGGCTCCTGACTTCAGATCAGCCCAGCTCTAGCTGTTGCAGCCATCTGGGGAGTGAACTAATCCCTCTCTCTCTAACTTTGCCTCTCAAATAAATAAAATATCTAAAAAAAAAATTTAAAAAAGAAACCCAGAGGCATCTCAGTAAGCATCAGCTCCAAAAAGAAAGAGGGCACGTCAGAGCTGGCACTGTGGCATAGCAGATTAAGTTGTGGCCTGTGACGCCAGCATCCCATATGGACACCAGTTCAAGCCCCAGCTGCTCTGCTTCCAATTCAGCTCCCTGCTAATGCACCTGGGAAAGCAGATGATGGTCCTAGTACTTGGAGCCCTGTCACCCACATGGGAAACCCGGATGGAGTTCCAGGTTCCTGGCTTCAGCCTGGCCCAGTCACAGAAATTGTGGTCATTTGGGGAGTGAACCAGCAAATGGAAAATCTCTTTCTCTAACTCTGCCTTTCAAATAAATAAATAAACCATTAAAAAGGAAAAAGGGGCATCTCCCTGCCCTGAGTAGGCACCTAGTAACTGGACCAGTGCCTGGAAGAAGTCACCCCCATGCCGCAAGGAGCCCTCTCATCCCAATCTACGTTGCTCTGAAAATCTCCCACAGGTAGCAGAGTCTAAATAAAATTACATCTTTAAAAGAAAAAAACAAATAAAAAACCACAACATTTCTTGCTTACAGTCCTCATAAAAGCTTCTACTGTCACTTAAAGCAACAATGTATACAAAAGAGAAAGTATTTTAGCAGTATGTTACATGGATTCAGTAACAATGAGCTATGTAGAGTTAACTTCCACTTATCATCCCATGCTCAGTAGAAATTTTTAAAGATCTTTCTCCCCTAGGGATTCATCCAAATAACAATAAATTTACTTTCCTTTGTTTCAGAAAATATGCATTCTAAGAATTATCATTTTTTTCTCACCTAGTTTGCCATCAAAATTTAGTGCCTTTTAACTTTTTCTTTTACAAATTTATTGAAGCATATTTTAGACACATATAATTCATCCATTTCAAGTATATAATTCAATGACTTTTAGGTAAATATACAAAGCTGGGGAATATACAAATCAGCTTTAGAAATCTTTACTCCTTCCTACCAATCCCAGCTCCTCCTCCTGCTCTAATCAACATCTAATCCACTTTCTGTCCCTATACATTTGTCAAGTCTCGACTTTTTTTTTATAAATGCAATCATACAATACATGGCTCCTGGTATCTAATTTCTTTCTCTTAGAATCTTTCTGAGGTTCACTCATGTGGGAACATGTATCAGTTATGCATTCCTTTTTATTGCTGAATAGTATTCCATGATCTGGATATGCCATCTGAGTGCCTCTTGGTTTTCTGCTTCTATTTCCATCTTCCAGGTTCTCTAATGGATGTAGAATAATGTGGATACTTGGGTGGGGAAGAAGGATCTGGAGTGAACTTTAATTTAGCCCAAATTACACAGGTGTTTCTCAAAACCCAATCCAGTTTATATGAGGCTGTCCTAGCTTCACTAAAAACATGACATCATTAGCCCCTTTAAAAATCACTGTCCTTTCACTCTCTCCAACAGGAACAAAAGTATAAATCCTCAAGTTTTCTCTCCCTCTCTCTCTCTGTTTATAAAAACCTCCACTCTAACTTACCTCCTTTTTCAGACATCAATGCCTTATTTGCTTTCTTTAACATTAGCTTCAAACTGGCAGCTTTAAAATCCCCACATCCTCAAAGTTTTTGAAAGGGTATCTCAGAAGCAAGTATCTGCATATTCTAGAACTTAAAGAACCACCTGTTGAGGAAGTCCCTGAAAATAATTCCTTTCCATAGAGAAAAAAGTTTTGAAAAGGGATTTAAAAACAAAACCTTGAGGCAGGCATTGTAACACAGCAGTTTAAGCTGCTGCCTGCGATGCCAACATCCCATACTGGAGTGCTGGTCCGAGTCCCAGCCCAGCTTCCTGCTGATGCGTCTGGGAGGCAGCAGGTGATGGTCCAAGTTCTGTGCCCCTGCCACCCACATGGGTGACCAGGATGGAGTTCCTGGCTCCCGGCTTCATCTTGATGCACTCCCAGCTGTTGTGGTCATTTGCGAAGTGAACCAATGGATGGAAGATTTCTAACTGCCTTTCAGATAAATAAATAAATCTTTAAAAAAAAATTACAACATCAATATGAAAGAGGCAGAAGGATCCAAACTGACATTTGACACTTTCATTTAAAGGGAAGGGTGCAGTGGGTTAAGGCTCTACTTGCAATGCAATCAGAGTCTGGGTTCATGTCCTGGCTGCTCCACTTCTGATCCAGCTCCCTGCTAATGTGCCTGAGGAGGCAGTGGAAGATGGTCCAACTGCTTGGGCCCCTGCCACAGCTGGATGGAGTTCTGGCTCTTGGCTTCGCCTTGGCCCAGACCTGGCTATCGCAACCATTTGGGAAGTGAACCAGCAGATGGAACACCTCTCTCTCGCTCGCTCTCACTCTGTTTTGTTTTTTTTTTTTTTTTTTTTTTTTTTTTTTTTGTTTTTTGTTTTTGTTTTTTTTTTTTTTGACAGGCAGAGTGGACAGTGAGAGAGAGAGACAGAGAGAAAGGTCTTCCTTTTTGCCGTTGGTTCACCCTCCAATGGCCGCCGCCGCCGCCGGCGCGCTGCGGCCGGCACACCGCGCTGATCCGATGGCAGGAGCCAGGAGCCAGGTGCTTTTCCTGGTCTCCCATGGGGTGCAGGGCCCAAGCACCTGGGCCATCCTCCACTGCACTCCCTGGCCACAGCAGAGGGCTGGCCTGGAAGAGGGGTAACCGGGACAGAATCCGGCGCCCCAACCAGGACTAGAACCCGGTGTGCCGGCGCCACTAGGCGGAGGATTAGCCTAGTGAGCCGCGGCACCAGCCCACTCTGCCTTTCAAATAACCAATTTTTTAAAAATAAATCAATAAAGGGAAGTCAAAGAATATACAGTAGTTAAGCACAGCTTTCTATTATCTTGTGTCTTTAACATGACTTTGCTAAATAATGATTTGTCATTAAATATAAAATATCACAATAATGTTATTATCATGTCTCTGTTTTGTGATGATGCCTAGTTCAGATCAAGTGGATTACTTACTTTTACAAAATCTTCAATATCCACATGTGGGATGACTACTTAATCAATTAGAGGAGAGGACTGGAGAACAGTGAAACAAAGCCAGCATATACTTGTCTTGAGCCTTTTTAAATTCTTAATTCTGTAGGTGATTCCCACACAATTAGTTTAAAGATAAAACCCAAGATGATACAAACACAGCTAAAATCTTTCCTACTGGCAAACACTTCTGGTTGGGAAACTATTTCTTTTTTTTTTTTTTTTTTTTTTTTTTTTTTTTTTTTTTTTTGACAGGCAGAGTGGACAGTGAGAGAGACAGAGAGAAAGGTCTTCCTTTGCCGTTGGTTCACCCTCCAATGGCCGCCGCGGCTGGCGCATTGTGGTGATCCGAAGCCAGGAGGTAGGTGCTTCCCCTGGTCTCCCATGCGGGTGCAGGGCCCAAGTACTTGGGCCATCCTCCACTGCACTCCCGGGCCACAGCAGAGAGCTGGCCTGGAAGAGGGGCAACCGGGACAGAATCCGGCACCCCGACCAGGACTAGAACCCGGTGTGCCGGCGCCGCAAGGTGGGAAACTATTTCAACATCCCTTTACTGGCCTACATTACAGTTCTTTGGAGCACTTAACAGAGTGAAAGCAATAAAAGGTAACACCAGCTAGGTGTAATCAGAGGAACTTTGAAAGATAAAGGAAAGCAGTATGAGCAATGATTAGACAGAGCAGCAAGTGTGTAATACTTAAGAAAAAAAAATGTCGAGGTAATTTGTATACTATACCTTTCTCAGGCTTTCATATTCCTCGCGAAGTTCCCCAGGCTTGCTTAATTTGATTGGAGCTCTGAATATAAACTCTAAAAGAAAGGGAACAAGAAAATGCCTTTTAACAGGACCGTCTAGGAAGGAACCAGCACCCTGTCCTGCTGCTGCCTACTCCCCCAATCCTAAAACACATTAAAAAATTTATGATAATCTTACTTTAAGCAGACACCATTCATCAAATAAATATTTATTAAAGGTTACCCATCAGGCACTGCTATAAGTACTAAGAGAAGCACTCAGCAACTCTTGTATTAGAAAATAGACAACAGGCCGGTGCCATGGCTCACTAGGCTAATCCTCCGCCTTGCGGCGCTGGCACACCGGTTCTAGTCCCGGCCGGGGCACCGGATTATGTCCCGGTTGTCCCTCTTCCAAGCCAGCTCTCTGCTGTGGCCTGGGAAAGCAGTGGAGGATGGCCCAAGTGCTTGGGCCCTGCACCCCATGGGAGACCAGGAGAAGCACCTGGCTCCTGCCCTGGGATAGGTGCAGTGTGCCGGCCACAGCGTGCAGGCTGCGACGGCCATTGGAGGGTGAACCAATGGCAAAAGGAAGACCTTTCTCTCTGTCTCTCTCTCTCACTGTCCACTCTGCCTGTCAAAAAAAATAATAAAATAAAATAAAAAAAGAAAAGAAAATAGACAATAAACAAGCGCACACGCCAGTGGTACAAGTGCAACTGAAGGGGAAAATGTAGGCTGGGGACAAAAATGTTATTTCTAGGGTGGTCTGGAAGAGGCTCAGTGGTAAAGTACTACATTAAAAAGACCTCAGGAAAAACTACATGTAAAACTGTTACTGAGTAACATTTGGAAGGAAATGAAGTTTTTTTCTTTACACTGTATTTTTCTATTTCTTTTTGATTGCAAAGTATTTTTCTGTATGCAACCTATATATAATCCTGTACTTATTTTCAGTATACAACCTGATATCTATTAATTCTCAAAGCATTCACTGGTTTTAATTTTTTGTTTTGTTTTGTTTGAAAGACAAAAAGTGAGTGAGAGGGAGAGCTCCCATCCTCTAGTCCACTCCCTGGATGCCTGTAACGCCCAGGGCTGGGCCCTGCTGAAGCAAGGAGGTCAGAACTTCATCCAGGTCCCCCACAGTGGGTGGGAGACACCCATGTGCTGATCCATCATCTGCTGCCTCTCTGGGTGCTCATTAATGGGAAGCTGGATCAGAAGCAGAGTAGCAGGAACATGAAATGGGTTCTCCAGCGTGGGATGCAGGCATCCCCAGCAGCAACTTACCCACTATGGCACACGCTCACCTCCCTGCAATGGTTTTGATTAGCCATAACATCAAAACCTTTCAACATGTCCTTCAAGCTTCTCCAGATTGCCTCCTATAGCCTTGTGCAGATCTCTCAACTCTTGACCATTTAATCATGCCACATATATATATACATATATATACATGTATGCTATTTTCCCAGCTGAAATTCTGTTTCTCTTCTTTGTATATATTTATAAATCTGAGACCCATGGGAGGCACACAGTGCATGTTAGTCCTATAAACTGATGCTAAATATCAAAGTTCAGAACAGGAATGGAGCAGGCATTTGGCCCTGTGGTTACAATGCCACTTGGCATGCTGCCCTCCCATACTGAAGTACCTGAGTTCCAGTCCTGGCTCCATTTTAGTCCGGCTCCCTTCCTACGCACACCTTGGGAGGCAGCAGATGACGAATAAGTGCTTGGTTCCCCACCACCCATATGGGAGACCCAGAATGAGTTCCTAGCTCCAGGCTTCAGTCTGGTCCAGTCCCAGCCATTGTGAGCATTTGAGGAATAAACCACAGGACAGAAGATCTCTGTCTGTCCCCGTCTCTCTGCTCTCTACCTTTCAAACAAATAGTGAGTTTAAAAAGCAGGAATAGCCAGCGCCGCGGCTCACTAGGCTAATCCTCCGCCTTGCGGCGCCGGCACACCGGGTTCTAGTCCCGGTCGGGGCGCCGGATTCTGTCCCGGTTGCCCCTCTTCCAGGCCAGCTCTCTGCTGTGGCCAGGGAGTGCAGTGGAGGATGGCCCAAGTGCTTGGGCCCTGCACCCCATGGGAGACCAGGGTAAGTACCTGGCTCCTGCCATCGGATCAGCGCAGTGCGCTGGCCGCAGCGCGCCGACCGCGGCGGCCATTGGAGGGTGAACCAATGGCAAAAGGAAGACCTTTCTCTCTGTCTCTCTCACTGTCCACTCTGCCTGTCAAAAAAATAAAATAAAAATAAAAATAAAAAAATAAAGTAAAAATAAAAAGCAGGAATAAATGTCTTAAATGCCATCAGAAAGGAAGGGGAGAGTATACCCTTCTGCCTCCTTAAATGTTTACACCTTCTATGTACATTTGGTGATCTAAAAATAGTATTAACCTTAAAACTTACTAGTAACCACATCCCACTGAGGTTGATATAAACATTTGTCCTAGAAAAGTAACCTCCTCAAAAAGCTGCCATTTGTCTTTTTTCTGGGGTCTCAACTGTTTTAAGAGGCCTCTTGTTTAGGACCCTGAAAACATTTAAACAGAAACACTGGACCTAATGCAGCTACAGCAAACAGTAACAGGAAGCCTAGCCAAGCACAGGAGAACTGCTGGTCCCCTTTACCATCACCTTCACCCAGTTTTATAAAAAAACTGGATAACTATTTTAGTCATATCCCTTAAGCACATTTCTAACTCTAGGCAAGCAGTACTTAAAATTAGACACTTTAAAAGAGGAGAAGGAGGCAGGGAAAAGCAAAAATCTTATGGTGAAACAAAGTACTTTAAATGCATTTACCGAGACTCCACTACATGTAAGATCATGCTTCATGTACATTTTCTCAATGACTTGTCACAGAAACTCTAAGGCAGGTACTGCACACATTTTACTCTGAGGGGTCAAATGACTTGCCCAAGGCCACAGAGCCAGTACGTGGCACAGCCAGGAGAAGGGTGTTAATAACTAGAAGAGGGAAATCATACAGAGATTTAAAATGCAACCAACTGGTGCCGGCACTGTGGTGCAGCAGGTTAAGCCACCAGCTGAGGCAATGGCATCCCATATAGGTATTGGTTCAAGTCCCAGAAGCTCCACTTCTGATCCAGCTCCCTGCAAATGGCTTGGGAAAGCAACAAAGGATGGTCCATGTTCTTGGGCCCCTGCACCCATCTGGGAGACCTGAAAGAAGCTCCTGGACTCCTGGAACCTAGCTTCAGCCTAGCCCAGCCCTGGCCATTGGGGCCATTTGGGGAATAAACCAGTGGATGGAAGATTCTGTGTGTGTGTGTCCTCTCTAACTCTACCTTTAAAATAAATAATTAAATTCTTAAAAAAAAAAAAAAAAAGCGACCAGTTAGGGGTTGAGCCCAATCTCCCCTATCACAAACTTCATTGTAGTAGCCCCCCTTGAATAGTCTTCCTTTTTTTTAAAGGCACCCATCAAGAAGATACAATTAAGAGCTTGTAGGAACCTACAACACTGTAAAAACTAGTAGGATTATAAAGAAGAAATTAATCCAAATTACGGGAAAGTTGGACAATACAATTAACAAGCGTGACTGTATCTATTTATATAAATGCAAGCACCCAGGACTGGTGCTGTGGTGTAGTGGGTAAAGCTGCCACCTGCAGCGCCAGCATCCCATATGAGTGCCGGTTCAAGTCCCAGCTGCTCCACTTCTGATTCAGCTCTCTGCTATGGCCTAGGAAAGCAGTGGAAGATGGCCCAAGTCCTTTGGCCCCTGCATCTATATGGAGACCCAGAAGAATCTCCTGGCTCCTGGCTTCAGATCAGCGTAGCTCCAGCCATTGAAACCAATTGGGGAGTGAACCAGTGGATGGAAGACCAACCAACCAACCACCCTCCCTCCCTCCCTCCCTCCCTCTCTCTCTGCTTTTTCTTCTGTGTGTAACTCCGACTTTCAAATAAATAAATAAACCTTTAAAAAAATAATAATAAATGCATGCACCCAAGGAACAGAATATATAGTCATTCCTCCATGTACACAGGAGATTGGTTCCAGGATCCCCAAGGATACCAAAATCCACAATGCTCGTGCTCCTTATACAAAATAGCGTGCTGTTTGCACATACCTGGTGCACATCCTCCTATATACTGTATTTCTAATCATCTCTGGATTACTTACAGCACCTCAAAACAATGTAAATCTGGGCGAACAGTTGTTACACTGCTTGTTTAGGAAATTATGACAAGAAAAGAAGGGGGGGGGAATACCCTGTGCATGTTCAGTAAGGCACATAATTTTTGATCAACAGTTGGTTGAATCCCCAGATGTGGAACCTGAGGATACAGAAGCTGACTCCCTATTTCTTAAAGCAAACAAGAGCAATTAATTATGTTCACAATACTCTAAATCACCAAGACATTTCAAAACATTTCAAATAACTCACATGATACAAACTCTGTTCTTTGATTCTGGCTACCACTTTCATATCCTAATTTTCTATCTACCTGGATGGCACTGAGTTGCCCCAAATTATTTCTCAAGAAATTCCCTGTTTGCTTAAGTTTGCCAGAGTAGATTTCTGCTGATTGCAATTAACAACATAAGCTAATTCAGTTTTCTTACATGGTGCTTTGAAATGAACAAAAAACTAGTCTCTAGTAAAACTGGTTAAAAAAAAAAAACAGGGAGAAAGCAAAACAATATGAAGAATAAATCCTTAACCACATGTCAAGATGGCTTTAAATCTCCAGAGACTATTCAAGCAACCTTGCAGTGAATGATCTTGCATACCTATTACTTTACATGCTTGCAAGAGGTCCATAGAATAAAGTGCTGGAATCAGAATTTCTGCTAAAAAAAAAAAAAAAAAAAAAAAAAAAAGTGTGCCTTTTGACAGATCAGGCTTTCTTCAGGAAGCCTTATTGGTTTCCAGTCCCATCACCAATGAATAACAGTGTCATTTCCTCACACTTTTTCCAGCACGAGTGCTGCAATTCATTAGTTTTGCCAAACTAATAGGTGACATTTTGTATCCAATATACTTCATAAGTGAAATTGAATACTTTTCATATGGCTAAGAGTGGTTTCCA